CACCGCCGTCAAAACTATTTTATCAACCGTGACGGTGAGACTGACGGTGAGATTGACGGTCTGTGTGGCGATGAGCTGAATGTTAGCAAGGACTGCACGTCCCTCGCAGGTGTGTGCAAAGCGACTGACGCGATGAAGTATTCAATCTTTATTTGGGCCTTCTTTGTGAGCATCTTTGGGTGCCTAGGGGGCGCCGAGTGGAACCGTCTTCTATTTCCAAAGTCGGTCTGCAATATACGAGACGGGTCCATGTTCCAATCACCTGGCAGCCCCGTCTCTTTCTGGATACCGCCGAATTGAGCCAGCAGTGCCTTGTTGGCATCAGTAAATGTGACCATTGGGTGGAGGTAAGCAGACTACCTGTAGTGGTACGAAACAATGTTTTTCGAAGCGGACTGCCACGAGTCGCTCTGGCTAGGCGCGCTTTGGTATGCTCGGCGGAAGCGGGTGCGCCCCCGCATGCATTTCAGCCTGCTAAGATCGCAACCCCACCTATTGCTCGTTTGTCTGGGATGCGGATGGCAGCGTTGAAGCAGGGAAGCCATCCCCTGTTCCGTCTCTGTTCCACCGTAGGGTGGATGTCATGCGGGTCAAATTGATACAAGGCTCCAGATATCCGTCGTCTAGACCGTCGCGCATGGTTATCCGAGAGTTTTCATGAAAAGTGTCAATCAAAACGGGCCTCACGGTCGACGGGGTCATCAGGGACGGCGCAATGAGCTGCTGGCTCGCTTCGGGCCTGCTGCCACCCACCGTTTTGCTGCCCCGGCGAGTTTGATATCGTCATCGCTGCGCTGCTTCCGTTCTCCTTCGTGGGTTCAGCTGGGCTGGTACGGAGGGCTTCTCCGAAGGGCTTCGGCGACCCGTCCTCCTCCTCCTCCTCCTCCACCTATTCCTCCTCCTCCGCCTCCTCTTCCTCATCCTCCTCCCCCTCCCTCTCCTCCTGCCCCTCCTCCTCCTCCTCCGCCTCCTCCCCCTCCTCCTCCTTCTCCTCCTGCTCTCTCCTCCTCCTCCTCCCTCCTCCTCCTCCTCCTCCTCCTCCCTCCTCCTCCTCCTCCTCCTCCTCCTCCTCCTCCTCCTCCTCCTCCTCCTCCTCCCCCTCCTCCTCCTCCTCCTCCTCCTCCTCCTCCTCCTCCTCCTCCTCCTCCTCCTCCTCCTCCTCCTCCTCCTCCCCCTCCTCCTGCCCCTCCTCCCTCCTCCTCCTCCTCCTCCTCCATCCTCCTCCTCCTCCTCCTCCTCCTCCTCTCCTCCTCCTCCTCCTCCCTCGTCCTCCTCCTCCTCCTCCTCCTCCTCCTCCTCCTCCTCCTCCTCCTCCTCCTCCTCCTCCCCCCTCCTCCTCCCTCCTCCTCTCCTCCTCCTCCTCCTCCCTCCTCCTCTCCTCCTCCTCCCTCCTCCTCCTCCTCCTCCCCTCCTCCTCCTCCTCCTCCTCCTCCTCCTCCTCCTCCTCCTCCTCCTCCCTCCTCCTCCTCCTCCTCCTCCTCGTCCTCCTCCTCGTCCTCCTCCTCCTCCTCCTCCTCCTCGGGTCGCCTGCGGCCCCGGGGGACACAGGGTAGGCTGGTGGTCGCCGGCGTTCCGTCCTTTGGCCGCGCTGGCTCGCCAGGCGTCGCTGCCTGTGCGAGCCTTGCCTCGGCCGCGGCCTGGGTGCCTCCCTCCGCCAAGCCCCCGCCCAGTACTCTCCTCGCCTCTCTCCCCTCGCTGCCTGGCTTGAAATCAGGCCTGCCCCTCTACAGAAAAGGAACATTCGAAAATAGTAGAAAAATAGTCTGGGGAGGATTTGTCGAATGTTTTTTGGCTACTTTGGAGTATTTTTCTGACTATTTTCAATCTTTGGGCCAGAATCCGCCTGTAGGGGGACACGCCCGACTTAAGCCTGGCCCCAAGATTTCCTTGTCCTTGCGTTGCAGGTCCTCGGGAGATGTGTTGCTCCGTGGAGTCCTGGCATGGCGGCCAGGTCGGCGGCGGCTTCTGTAGTAGTCTGCTCGCGAAGCGCCTCCAGGACTTTGGCGAGCAAGATCTGCTTGTCGAGGTCTGAGACTTCGTCTGGGTGGGCCTCGATGTAGGCAAGGTCCTGCTGCATAGAGGGCTCTGGCAGCTTTGCCTCCCGCTTCACGGGGGCCTCGATGAGCTTCTGTTGCTCGATGAATTCTGTTGCTCGATGTTCTGTTGCTCGATGTTCTGCCGCTCGATGAGCCTGGATGGACTGAGGGGGGCGCCTCGCATGGATCTGCATGGGCAGGGACAGGAACGATATTTGTCTGAGTTCCTCAAGGTCCCTCTTCCCTTGGGGGAGCTTGGGTTGCTCCGTGGGCACGTGTGCCACCCAGAACTCGATTGCTGCCTGGGCCATGGCCAAGTCCGATGGTGCACTGCTCAACAGGGTCTTTTGTCCCTCTCTGCGTTCTTCCTGTCCCCAGCCTTTGTTGACGTCTTTCCCTTCACCTTACCCTTGCCCTCCCCCTTACCCTTGTCCTTTCCTTTACCTTTGCCCTTGCCGCTGGGGTTCCTTTGGCCGTCATCCCTCCACTGGTCTGTCGAGCCAGGAGCGCGCTGTCCTCTCCCGGCGGCGGTGGGTGCAGCGACCAGGGCATCGCCGCGCCCGCTCCCTGCCCGAGCTCCCGTGGCCGGCACCCCGGCTCGACCCGGTGTGGCATGTGGGGCCCTGGCCGGGCGGCTGCTGCTGCGGCGGCGGAGCGGCTTCTGTGGGGACGCGCCGACAGATGTATAACCAGGATCCCCCGTATACACCAGGATCCGCTTTCTTGTGCGAGTTGCAGTGCAGGGCCAGAAGAAGCGCCGATGTACAGAGCTCGATTCCCTGACTTCGTTGCTCTTCCATCCCGCCGGCCCGGCCGCCACCGGGAGCGAGCCGCCTGACTCTTGTGCCCAACAGTCGGCTCTCAAGGGGACCCCCATCTTTCGGCGGCGAGCGAGGGGGGGGAGTGAGAAGGAGAAGGCCTTGTCAGAAGGCGGCGGGACTTCTCAGAAGCCCTCCCGCCTTCTGAGGAGTTTTCTGTGTCCTCGGGGAAGGCTTAGAAGACTTCTCAGAAGGCCGGGGGACTTCTGAGCCTTCTGAGAAGGCCCGCCTTTTCTCACTTCCCCCTGGGCGCGCCGCTGAATCTTGTTCAACCCTCCCAGCGATGGTCCGCTACACGAGTGTGAGGCTCCGGGCATGTGGTTCTCGCCTCGCGACGATGGCGGCCGAGAGGCGGAGGTCACCTAAGTGGGATTTGGCTCGCAACCCAACTTCAACAAAGCGTTAAGTCGGGCCTCTCCCTCTACAGGGGGATATTCAAAACTAGTCAAACATAGTCTGGGGATTATTTTTGAGTATTTTTGGGCATCTTCTGAGTATCAGTTGAGTATTTTTTTTTGTTTTTCGTCCAGAATCCCCCTGTGGGGGGACAGGCCCGACCTAAACAAAGCGTGGCTCCGTGTGCCCCCTCCCCCTCCACCCCCCCTGCTCGCCCGCCAGGCCGCGCCGCTGGCGTGAGGACCTCGACGGGCGACAGCCCTGGAAGTCTGGGGGAGGGTAACCGGTCCGATCGACCGGCATAAGGCCCTGGGATTCAGTCCCCCCCCATCTTTGGGAAGCTCATGGGCGCTTGCCCGCACCTCGTGCGCGCATCTCGACGACGACCCTGCGACATCGACTTGTGGTCGATCCATTCGAATTGACAGGCTGAGGGCTAACTGTGAACTCGAAGTCCGTAGCCCCCTGCCTTTGTACGTGCGGCGTGGGAGTCGCCGCACCAGCCCACGACACCATCCCAGAGTACTACACAACGACAGCGACTTCGACTCGATCCATTCGAATCGACAGGCTGAGAGCTCCACGTCCACTTGGAGTCCGTAGCTTTCTGTCTTGTACGTTTGGCAAACTCCTAGCCTGAGCCTCTTGCACCGCCGCGGTGCGCGTCGTGACACACCTTGTCATCCATGGTGACGACGCAGAGGCGCCGATTGCGGCGACGACAGCTGCGCCGTCCACGACTCCAGAGAAGCCAACGACAACCCTCCAGCCCCAACCCCCGAAGACTATGCGACGACGGCGACATGAGGCCGATCCACTTTAATCGACAGGGCTGAGAGCTGCATGCGATCTCAGAGTCCGTAGCTCTCTGCCCGCTGTACCCGCGGAGCGGGAGACAGCGTCGCGGTGACCGCGACCTGTGGTCGATCCACTCCAGCCGACAGGCGCAGCCATCGCCCGTGAACGACTGGGAAAGGCCCACCCACACACCGTTGGATGCCAGCGAACCTGGCTGCATTTGGGGTGCCTGCTTGCCCCACTGAGCCCTTCCGCCTGTGGCCGCTGGCTGGCGTCGACCTCCCTCGGGAGGGCCAAGCCTGGCCTGCCAGAGGCCGGATGAGGATCCGCTACTCGCTGATGCACTACTGCCTGCGAACGCAGGGTGGCGGGTCGGGGCTGCATGCGGGGAGTCTGAACCGCTGTCGCCCGGCCGTTCACTTGCGATGGGGCTATTCAGGGGTGCTCTTCGAGTCCTGATAACTCTTAGTGGCGCTCCGTGCGTCCCCTGGGCATAGCCCCACGGCCAGTATCGAACGGCGTCGGCACAGGGAGGAGCAGGAGGAGGAAAAGGAGGATGAGGAGGAGGAGGGGGAGAAGGAGGAGGAGAAGGACGAGGAGGAGGAGGAGGAGCAGGAAGAAGAGGAGGAAGAGGAGGAGAAGGAGGAGGAGGAGGAGGAGGAAGAGGAAGAGGAGAGGGAGGAGAGGGAGGAGAGGGAGGAGGGGGAGGGGGAGGAGGAAGAGACAGGAGGAGGAGGGGGATGAGGAGGTTGGAGGACGGCAGCATCCTTGGAGCTGCCACCAACTTGGAGCTTGGAAGAGGTTGGAGAGGAAAAGAGACAGTCATCATGAGGAGTACCCCTCTCCCCCGCCCTTCTCCTCCCCGTCCCTCGCTCCCTTTTAATCCCCTCGTCACTCCACTGCGCAGCATCGTTGTCCGCCGCGCGCTACGGCGGCTCCCGGAGTGGTGGAGGTCGCCGCGTTCGTCCCCCGCGACGGCTGCCTCAATTTCGTTGACGAGAACGACGAGGCGTGTCTTCCTTTGCCGCTCTCTTGCTGCCGTCGCGCAGTCTTGGGTCCCTCCGCTTGTCCCTGTTAACCGCTTATCCAATCGCCCGTCTGATGGGTCGCTTCCTGGAGCCATGCCCGCCACTGAGAAGAAAGGGGAGGGAATGTACAGCATCCAGGATCGGTGCAGGTGGACAGCCTGCGTCTTCCGACTTCTCCAATGCAGCCCGATGTGGCAGGGGTTGCGTGCGAATCTTCGCCAGGGATTTGCCCCCGAACAAGACCCCCGACCAGACCTAGACTTAAGTCGGGCGTGTCCCCCCACGGGGATTTTCGACGAAAAATAAAACATACCCCCAACATAGTCAAAACATAGTTCGAAAATAGCCAGGGGACTATTTTTGGAGTAGTTTTTTACCTTTTTGGGGTGTTTTTGTGTATTCCTTATTTTTCGTCGAAGATCCCCCTGTAGGGGGACACGCCCGACTGAAACCTAGACGTCTCCTCCAGCCCGACGCAGACTTCTCCTCCTTTCCAGTTCGGTCTACTGGTCACGGGTCCTTGGTCTCCTCAGAGTTTTCGCTCACGTCCCCCCCCTCGGGGAACACCCAGCCAGACGTGAACCCGTCCTCCCTCTCCTCGTCTCCTCCTCGATTCCTTTTCCTTGGAAGCAACTTCTCCCTGTCGCACCCCGAGGCATGTCCGTAGGGCGGGCCGGGTGTTTCGCCCGAGACGATCTCACCGTGTATAACCCATAAGTTGAGAACTTGAAAGGGTTTCGCGTATGAGGGGCTGGCCGCAATCAGAATGTGCTCTCGCCTTCAGCGCCACGCACACTCGTCTTAACAACTTGCAGAAATTTCACGGATGGAGGGTTGTCTGCTTTCAACGTGCGGCTCTCGCTTTTGCGCGTTTTTATTATTAGTATTATTATTATTATTCAGGTTTATCAGTTTTATTAGTATCACCAGTTTTTTATTATTACTACCAGTATTATTGTCATCGGCATTATTTCTAATATTATTTTTAATAACTATGATGTTTTTTTTTCTTCTTATCGTTACCATTAGTATTATCATCATTATTACTATCATTGTTAGCATCATCACCATCACCATTATGATTATTAGTTTACAGTCATTATTATTAGGAGTATTAGTTCCAGTATTAGTAGTCGTATTAGTTTCATTATCATGTTTCATCATCATTATCTTTTTATTGTAGTAAGACGTGTTATTGTTATGTGTAGTATTATTATTATTCGTATTCTTATCATCATTGTAACTTATATTCGTATTATGATTATTTTTAATATATGCAGTATGGTCAGCATCATCATCATTATTATTTATATTACTACTGCTGCTATTATTATTATTATTATTATTAGTTTTATTATTATTACTATTATTAGTATCATGAGGATTATGAGTATTATTATTAGTTTTTCTTACTATCACCATTCGTATTCTTCATAGTGTTATTACTATTCGTATTACTTTTACTTTTACTATCAATATCGTTATTATGATTATTATTCATAGTATTTTAGGCATAACGGAAAAGCGAGGTATGAGTGATGACGTTGTGTTTGGGCGAAGCCCTCTAGGGGGAGTGCAGAGGGGGGGAGGAGCGGAGGGATGGGACCTAAAGGCCGCTCGGGGCGTCTTGGAGGCCTCTTGGGCGCTTCTTGGGCCGTCTTGGGCGCTCGAGACGGTCCAAGGGGGGTCCAAGACGGCTCCAAGACGGTCCAACATGCCCAAGACGGGCCAAACACGGCCTAAGAAGCTTCCGAGACGCCCCGAGAGGCGCCCAAGAGGCGCCCCACGAGGCCCCCAACAGGCCAATATTATTGGTTTCCGTATGACAAACACGTACATTTTAGCATATACGGCTTTTCGGCTTTCACGGCGTTGAAGGCAGTCCAAGAGGCCCCCAAGATCGCCCCAAGACGGCCCAAGAGGCTCCCAGGAGGCCCCAAGAACGGCCCACGAGGACCCCAAGACGGCCCAAGAGGCGCCCATGACGGCCCCAAGGGGGGGACCACGAACCGAAAAGTCTAGCCTCTCGCCCCAAGAACCTCCCAGGAGGCCCCAGGAGCCCCCCAAGAAGCCCCAAGAGGCCCCGAAGAGGCGTTCCAAGAGGGCCCCAAGAGGCTAAAGTCATGGAGTTCCATCGGACAACGTACATTCTTAGCATATACGGCGTGTCGGCTTTCACGGGGTTGACGACGGCCCAAGAGGCCCCCAAGGACCGCCCCAAGACGGCCCAAGAGGCTCCCAAGAGGCCCCCAACACTGCCCAAGACGGCCCAAGAGGCTCCCAAGACGGCCCAAGAGGGCCCCTAGACGGCCCCAAGAGGGGGACCACGAACCGAAAAGTCTAGCCTTTCGCCCCAAGAAGCCCCCAGGAGGCCCCAAGAGCTCCTCAAGAAGCCCCAAGAGGCCCCCAAAAGGCGTCCCAAGAGGCCCCCAGGATGCCAAAGTTACTGATTTCTTACCGGGGAGCGTACATTTTTAGCATACACGGCTTTTCGGCTTTCACGGCGTTGAAGACGGTCCGAGAGGCCCCCAAGTTCGCCCCAATACGGCGCAAGAGGCTCCCAAGAGGCCGCCGAAACGTTCCAACGGAGCCCCAAGACGGCCCAAGAGGCGCCCACGACGGCCCAAGAGGGCCCCAAGACGGCCGCAAGAAGGGGACCACGAACCGAAACGTTTAGCCCTTCGCCCCAAGAAGCTCCCAGGAGGCCCCAGGAGCCCCCAAAGAAGCCCCAAGAGGCCCCCAAGAGGCCCCCAAGAGGCCCCCAAGAGGCCCCCAGGATATCCCAAGAGGCCCCCAAGAGCCCCAAAATGGCCCGCAAACGGCCCACAAGTTCTTGACACCAAGGCCCAGCCAAGGCTCAGGAACGGGCGGCAACGTAACAATCTCTGAACACCAAGGCCCCCAAGAGGTCCCCAAGAGGTCCCCAAGAGGCCCCAAGAGGCTCCCAAGATGCCCACAAGAGGTCCCAAAACGGCCCATCAGAGACTTCGACACTGGCTCCATCAGGCCCGCCCCAAGAAGTTCCCAGGAGGCCCCACGAGGCCCCCAAGAAGCCTGCAGAGGTCCCCAAGAGGCCCCCAAGAGGCTCGAAGAGGTCCTTAAGAGACCCAAAAGGGCGACGATGATGATGGTAATGCTGGAGATGATCATGATGATGGTCATGCTGGTGATGAGCCTCGACGGGTTCATTCCCAAGTGGGTTCTGGCGAAGGGTGTTTTCACTTCGACAGAAGCGGCTCCCGGGCGGCTCTCATGGCCTGTTTCCTGTTGTTTTTTTCAAGGGACGCTGCCCAAGGGCCCCAAGACGGCCCAAGAGGGCCTCTAAACGGCCCAAGAAGGCACCAAGACGGCCCCAAGAGAGCCTCAGATAGCCTCAAGACGGCCCAAGAGAGCCGCAAGACGGCTCCAGATGCCTTCTAGAAGGCCCGCGAGGGGGCCCCCATGGGTGTTTCTCTATTGTTTTTGTCGTTTTTTGCCGTCTTTTTTTTTTTGGTCGGGCCAAGAACGATCCAAAACGGCCCAAGAGACTCCCAATATCGCTCCAAGACGACCCAAGAGGCCCCCGAAAGGGCCCGAAAACGTTACAAGAGAGCCCCAAGAGGGTCCAGAGGGGCCTGAGACGGCCCAAGAGGCACCAAGACGGCCCAAGAGTGCCCAAAGACAGCCCTACGAGAGCCCCAAGAGGGCCCAAAGAGACTCCCAAGAGGGCCCCAAGAGGCCCTCAAGATAGCCCCAAGACGGCCAAAGGCCTCCGAGACGCCCCAAGACGGCCCCCTTAGGGCCCCAAGACGGCCCAACTTTGCCCCAGAAGGGCTCCGAAGGGCTCCAAAAGGGCCCCAAGACGACCCCGACAAGGCCCAAGAGACGCTGAAGAACACCATGGCTCCCATCAGCGAGCGGTGACATAACAAGCTCTTGACACCAAGGCTCCCCAGAGCGCGGTGACGTAAAGAGCTCGTCACACCAAGGCTCCCAAGAGCGAGCGGCAGCGTAAAAGTCTCTGAACACCAGGGCTCCCAACGGAGAGCGGCGACGTAACAAGCTCTTCACGCCAAGGCTCCCAAGAGCGAAGGGTGCCATGAGCCATCTCGGGCGGAGGAGGAGGAGGAGGAGGAGGAGGAGGAGGAGGAGGAGGAGGAGGAGGTGGAGGAGGAGGAGGAGGAGCAGGAGGAGGAGGAGGGAGGAGGAGAGGAGGAGGAGGAGAGGAGAAGGAGGAGGGAGGAGAGGAGGAGGAGGAGGAGGGAGGGGAGGAGGAGGAGGAGGAGGAGGAGGAGAGGCGGAGGAAGTTCCTGAGGCGCTCTTTCCGTCTCCGCGCTGGCCCAGGTGTATTTGGCCACGCGCGGCCGAGCCGGGCCACCTAGTGGCCAGAAGCAGAACCAGATCGGAGGAGAGACGCGAGGCCGCAGGGACGCCTCCCCGTGTCTGAGGAGGCCGCCCCGTGGCCAAATAGCCCACCCCTCAACATTCGTCGTAAGTCGGGCCTGTCCCTCTACAGGGGGAATATTCAACAACAGTCAATAAGATAGCCCTGGGACTATTTTTAAAAGTATGTTTGACCATTTTGGAGTATTTTTGGAGTATTTTTCATTTTTCGTCGAAAATCCCCCTGTAGGGGGTCACGCCCGGCTTAACATTTGTCCGATCCCGAACCCTCGTCTTGGCGAGGTATCGGGACGAAACCCGCATCGTTCACGTCCTCGCGGAGGGGCGACGGTGCGCACGGCGAAACCGCGGAGGAGCCTCCAGAGACCACAAGTGAAGGGGCCCCAGGACACACAAATAAATACGCACAAAGAAACATTTTCCTCATATTTTCCTATATTTTCTGGGTTTCTGTCTTCCCCCCCACTTCCCATATTTTCCCATATTGCGAAGGCCTTACGGCCAGTGCCGCCGACCCTGAAGACGAAGCTGTCTGTGACGCCGTGAAGGCCGAAACGTCGTATATGCTAGAAATGTAAGTTCCGATGGAAAAGTAATG